TTTTAAATTGTGACTTTCTGTGGCAATCTGAGTATCTGATCAAGAGGCCAGCATTTTGTTTCGAGGCAAAGGCAAGATGTTCTGTGCTTTGAGGAATGCACTTTGGGACTCGGGGGGGGGGGGTTTAGCATATTTGGGCTTTGTTGGGAGTAAGATTACAGAATAAAAGAGTTGGAAGGGACCTTGGAGGTCTTCTAGTCCAACCCCCTGCCCAGGCAGGAAGCCCTATACCATTTCAAACAAACGGTTGTCCAGTCTCTTCTTAAAAACCTCCAGTGTTGGAGCATTCACCGCTTCTGGAGGGAAGCTGTTCCACTGGTTAATTGTTCTCACTGTCAGGAAGTTTCTCCTTAGTTCCAGGTTGCTTCTCTTCTTGATTAGTTTCCATCCATTGCTTCTTGTCCTGCCTTCAGGTGCTTTAGAGAATAGGTGACAGCCCCTCAAGTACTGGAAGACTTCTATCGTGTCATCTGTAGTCCTTCTCTTCGTTAGACTACACACTCCCAGTTCCCACAGCTATTCATCATACACTTTAGTCTCCAGTCTCCTAAACATCTGTATGTGTGTGTGTGCACAACTAGTGTTCAGTCGTATCTCACGAGAGCTCCTGCTCCACTTTAAGCTTCATAGCTGCTCTGGACCTGCAGAGGACATCAGATTGGCAGGGGAAGAAGGTTGTTTGGGAGTGCAGACTCATCCCCTGCCTGGGATGGAGAGGTGTCTGCAGCCAGGATCACAACAAGCCAAGATAGAAGCTCATTCGGCGTGTTGCGTGGGATTTTCCAGGGGAGCATCCATTGCAGAGCCTGCTTTGCGAGTGCCGGCAGCTACCTCTGGGCGTACAGTTTTGAGGCTGAGGTTAAACCCTTTTGTTTCGTCTGGGGCTGGTTAATCTTGCTGTGGGTCTTTCCGCTGGGGTTCATCTGAGGTCAACCGTTGAGTGTAGCTTGTGGATGCCTTCAACTTCTACCACATTTAGCATTTCACACTGAAGAAGGAACCCCTCTGCTAAGTCCTGATAAGATTTCCTTCTGCCTTGGCTCAGCTGGTTCTCTCTCCCTCTCTCCCTCCCTCCCTCTCTCTCTCTCTCTCTCTCTCTC